CTGCATTTAAACAATTTTCACTCTTTTATTGCTGTCCGTAGCCACCAGAGGCGCTAACGTCGACATTGTGCCAGTTAAGTACAGGGGAATGACTTCTCTCGTAGTTTACTACTACTATATTTCTCTATGCTCTCCACACAAAAAGTCGCAAAAAAGTTAATCTTTCAACGCTCATATCTCATAGACCGTAATACCTACAAAATTTCATCCCATTTAAAGGTGGTTAAGAATCAAATCCTCTACAACATATCAAAAAATGGACAAAATCCATAGACCCAAAAATTCCATGTTAGGTGTGCGTTATCCTTTCATGAAATCTTGATTGGTGCAAACCGCATTTTGATATCTTCAACCGTTTAGCCGCTAGAGGGCGATTTTCGATTTTGAGCAATACTGTGAAACCTTCATAACTTTTTTGTTTATGACAATAATTGATTTCTGTAAAGACTTTCTAGAGGCACTTTTTTAGGTAGAACTCAGTGACGTTCTCAGTTTTTTTCTATCTGGCTCTAATTTCGAGACATTGACCAAAATCCGATTTTTTCAATAGAACATCCTATATATTAATAGCTTATTGGAAAGCTCTTCTTTTGCTGATTTCGATGATAAAGTTCGATAGGTTTATCTTCAACGGTTTCCGAGAAACAAAATTATTTCGGTTTTTGTCATAAAAAACAATGTGTTGGGAAAGGACTTTTACCGCACTTTTTGTTTTTCATAATGCTGATTTATGTTGCGTTTGAAGTTTTTCGGTTGTCACCCTGAACTACATGAAGAAATTCACGGAAAAATACACAGATGTAATATGTAATACGGGCTCTATATCACTTGTAATTATTCATGGTTTTTTATTCACACATTTACTGATTCTTAGCGGAAAAAATCTATAAAAAAATTCTAACAAAGCAGAGAAACTTCAGCAAAGAATTATCACATCTACCAATTTTGGTCCAGTCTATCTGCCTGCAGTGTTTCAAAAATGTTTCAAAATTTCGAGTCGTTTGTACTATTTTGCTGGTTTAATTGTGCTAGAGTCACATTTCACCTCTAGTCTAATGTCTGCCCAGCGAGTCTGTGTCTACGGGGCAACGGTAAGGGGAATGCAGTTGTAAAAAAAAATGGCTGATTTCATTCATAAAATACCCAGCTGCGTGCGGAACTTTTTGGAAGTGTTATCGTATTGCAACTCGTACACGAAAATCAGCAATGACCAAATCTCCGCCACTGGATATGTCAATATAAATCGATATTCCAAGATGGGAGGATAAAATAATGACGTGAGCCCTGGCCAATAGCGAGACGTAAGGTGACGTTAGCTCTTTGACAACCGTATGGTTCCCCATGACAACGGCGATCCTGCCAAAAACTCCACCAATCAGGTTCATCCAGGACGATGCTTGCCAAATTGTCAAAAGCTGATGGTATCTTTAGAAAATGTTTATTTTTTACAATAGACCAAACCGAAGAAATCAGGATTAAAATAAGGATAGGTCTAACAACCACGTTTAAATATTTAGTGTTTTATTATTGTTATCAATATTTTGTTATTAAAAAATGGATTTTCAAATTAACTATACTTTATGCTTAGTATTTTCGCTTTTTTATAATTAAACGTGGCAACATGGCACATTTACGTCTAAATTCCTTCCGTAGACTCAGATCCGCTGGGCAAACAATACACACAACCGCCTCATGATCAGAAAGGCCCGCACTGACCGTCGAACAACGTACCCTCCCTTCATCAGAATTTGTACAAATTGTCAGTGAATGTTGAACAATGTAACTAACGAGTCTGTTGTATTGCTCCATGGCTACGAATAATTATGAATTTTCTTTTGTCATAATTGAAAAAAAAAAAACTGCACACCACACACACTCTAATTAGCAATATTTCAGTGGTATGCATTGGATTGGTGCATCCTGTTCCCTAACACAAATATAATCCAGTGAAGTCGATGAATTTGCAGTACCTAATTCTAGTGGGTTCCTTTACATGTACATTTAAGTTAAAAGAGGAGAGTAAGCCATTCAAAGCCTGCAGTGAAGCCGATCCTATGCATCTGTATCTAAAAAGTTAATAAAGGGCCGGTTTCTCAATAGCGAGTCAAGTATAATTCTAGGGTAAACATAGCAACTGGACACGTTTACCCTGAGGTTGAAGCCAACCCGGAGGTGACTCGCTATTAAGAAACCAGCCCAAAATCTGTTTTTTTATTAAAAATGAAGTCAAAATGACATTAAGGTATGTTTTTTTTATTAAAGATAATAGACCTATCTATTATACCAGACAAAGAGGTAATAATACGAAAACTTTATTACATAGAAAAAGACGCAGAACGCTTATTGCGCAAGACGAGGCAAAACGTACCAAACCATGTTAGACTTATGTATAGCAATCCCTTCTTATTATTTGCACAGGATAGAAAGGGAAGGAAGAAAACCGCGTGACGTGCAACGTATTTGTCAATCAAAAACACAAACAATTGAAAATCGATCACTTGTCAAGCTAAGTCAAGTTATTTATCAACCATAATTCTGATCCTTGTCAGACCACGGGCAATGAACAAAGACAAGGAGATGCCTAGCGTGCAAAACGAACACCTCTCACCTGTATTAGTTAGCCAATAAAAATGCAATGCCTCGTGTTGCGCGCGCATACAGGTAAAAATAGATAGGTCTATTCCCCAAGTCAAAAATTTAGTAACTATGTTATGTTGGCAACACAAGCCTTTTCTACATAAAAAAATTGAAAGCATTGACAATTTTACATTGTATTGCCAACATAATGTCATTTTGACTTTTATCTTTAAAAAAAATAGTTATTTATGTACCAAGGCTTGTAAGTGTTACTTTTTTGGCCGAGGGTGCAGTTTGCAAGCCGAGGCCCGTGGGGCCAGGGTTTGTAAGCATTTGAGGCCAAAAAAGTACACTCTACAAGTCGAGGTGCATATAATATTTTTTGTGCTACCGTACATTGAAGATAATAAATATCATGAATTTGATGGTGCGCCTATTTGCTGCCAAACTGATCCTGAACGCTAAGGAAAGAATCACATCATGAAAAGCCATTGTATGAAACAATATTAATGGCTTTTTATGGTGTGATTTTTACCTTAGCGTTCAGGGTTGGTTGGGGTGACATTATTTTGACAGAGATATGAACCAAGCAATTTTCACCTTTCATTTCACCACTTTTTTGGCCCGGTCAAAAAAGTAACTTTTTTGACCCGGACTGTAAGTGACACTTACAGTTCATGGACGTAGGTCAAAAAAGTCAACTTACAGAATGGGTAGCACAAAAAAACAGATTTTATGTTGGCAATACAATGTAAAATTGCCAACAGTTAGGCAATCTAATGACCTGTCAAAAACGATATTCAATATGGAAGTTCAGGTCAAGCCCTGTGTTGTTTATTCTGTATGTCATTGATTCTGTCACATCATCGGCTTTTGATCTACAAAAATGAATTATCAAAACAACGCAGGGCTTTATGGATTGCTGCAATTAAAAGAAAGGATCTAACAGAGGGTCGATTTTCCCTTAATAATAATACCTTAAGATATTCACTCTCCATCTCAGAATTTATTAATAAATTAAAAATTACCTAGAAACATTAAACACTAAAAAATTCACTTTGAAAACAACAAGGGCCAGAACACTAAAAAATACGTAGAAATACTTAAGACTATAAAATTCCCTATGAAACCAACAATAACCGAAAAACCAATAAAAAATACGTAAAACACCAAAGACTATAAAATTCACTTCGAGAGCAACAAGGGCCAGAACACAAATGCTCTCCTTATGCCTCTTTATAAACGTCACCGGCTTGTCACCGTAATGTTTGACCTGAACTGAACGGCCATACAAAATCACGTGATTGAGATTGCCAATGGCCGCGACTGTACAGGGTGGGCCAATTTGGACACTTTCTTCTGGAAACACCCTTTATTTTTAGAGATAGAAAAAAATCAACCCCCCACTCTGAGGCTCAAATTTCATGAAATTTTGATTGGTGCAAACCGCATTTTCATATCTTCAACCGTTTAGCCGCTAGAGGGCGATTCCCGATTTTGAGCAATAATCTGAAACCTTCATAACTTTTTTTATTTATGAAAATAATTAATTTCCGTAGAAACTTTCTAATAGCACTTTTTCAAGCAGAATTCAGTGACGCTCTCAGTTTTTTTCTATTAGGCGCCAATTTTAAGACATAGACCAAAGTCCGATTTTGGTCGGACTTTGGTCTTTTTGTCTTTGTCATAAGAAAAGAAATAATGTGTCAGAAAAGGACTTTGCATCTGTAATGAAAATGAGGAAGGTCTCTATCTAACACATTGTGTTTTATGATAAAAACAGAAAAAAAAAATTGTGTTTGGTACAAAATATATGACAGAAACATAAAATACATCAGTTTTGTACTTAACTTTCACCAGGATACCTTCTACATCCAAAGTCCATGGGAATTTGTCTAAACACCAAATGTTTTTCAGTGCAAGCAAGACGCCTCCACCTCTAGACTTTTGAGAATTACGATCTCTTCTAATAATATTATATCGAGAGTCAAATAAATAGTTCCTGACTACCAAAGTTCTCATTTAACCAAGTTTCTGTTAAATAAATAATATCATAATCCTCTGATAAAGTACTGGTGTTAAAATCGTGAGTTTTTATACGAAGGCCTCGTACACAGCATTAGTGTTTTAGTATTTCACCTGTCCAGCTTTGCTTTGAAGTACAGAAATTTTCATTAATGTATTGACTTAAGCTATTAGTTCCCTTAACTTTATTTTCACGCCCTTTAATACAAAAATGTCATTAAATTTTCTCAATTCCTTGACTGTCCTCGAGTAATTCCCTAATAAAGTTCCTCACAGAACTATTTACTATTTACTCATTGATATAATTCACACCTTAACAAATTCAAATCAGATACATACTCAATTACTTCATTCACACTGTAGATATTTTCCTATCAATTTCAAAATTATGATTTCAGGCAACATTGAGTGTAGACACCGCCCAAAAAGTAATGGTTTTGGGCCAATCCAAAGACTATGGCATCTGCAAAAGTATGAAAAAAAACGGCGAAAAATGCACCGCCGCCATTAATTTAAGCATTTGCGAGTTTTGCATCTACCACATAAAGCAGGAATACCAGAAATGCAGCAAACGATCCGAGCTGCAAGCTAATTTCGCAGGCAAAGGCCTGGTAAACTTGAGAAACAAGGTTTTGGGCAAAAACGAGGTGTTTTACGCTGGCAAATCGTACATGGCAATACCGGCAAAAAAAAGTAAAAAACTGGAATCCAGAGATAGTAATATTTTACAAAATTTGAGCAGTTTAAATCCGAGTTCGCATAATATTAGTAAAACTAAAAAATTGAGTAAAACACAGCCAAAAGGCATGGCAAGACATCTTGACGTAAATCCAGCTCAAAGAGCCAGAGATTTGGAATTGTTACAAAAACTAGGTGGTCCAAGTATAGAGGCGAAAACCAACTTTACAAATACACAATCGGAAGAAGTTACTCTGGAAAGCTCCAAAGCAACAGCCATAGAAGTCATAAGTAAATTGAAAGCCAAAACACAACAGAATATTCCTGTAAAGAAGCCTCAGTATGATTTAAAGGGAGATTTATTTGTAAATGTGGACAATAAAAGGAGTTTTTCAGGCAAAACTTCAGAAACTCTGTCATTGGAAGACAGCAAAAACACTGCTTTAAGTGTTATAACAAAACTTAAAGCAAAAAATGGTGAAACCAAAAAACTTAATGTTGACGAGAATGAAGGAGAAATGATGATTTCATTGGAGGAATTTGAAGACGAATTGAATTATAGTGACAATGAGGAAAATTTGCCTGGAACTGAGAATGTTTCAAATTTTAAAAATTCAAAATTTGATGCAGGCATACCAAGTGGCACTCCAAAATCTGGACTTTTAACAGAAAATGTCTCAAACGATAAGTCAATTGGTAGTTCAAAGCCTGGTAGTTCTAAAGAACTTCTTACTCCCATAAAGAAAACTTCAATTATTGGAACTCCCAAACCTGGAAATTCAAAGGAACCATTCACTCCCAATGGAAACATTACTCCAGGCTCTAGGAAAACTTCAATTGGTACTCCAAAATTTGGAAATTCAAAGGAACCACTTACTCCCAACGGAAAAATTACTTCAGGCTTTGGAAAAACTTCGGTTGGTACTCCAAGATCTGGAAATTTGGATGTTAAAGAAAGTGCAGATGTTAGGAAAACTTCATTTGGCACTCCAAAATCAGCAAATTTACAAGAAAAAAACACAAATATAAAGAAAACTACCCTATTCGAGTCCACACCATCATCAACTTTACCAAAAAATAGCCTCAACAAATCAGCTTTAGACAACTTGACAATGAATATACCAACTTTATCTGGCTCGGGTAAAACCTTAATTGACTTGAACAAACCTATAGCCAGAAAACATGTAGACCGAGCCAAAGTGAATGCGATAAAATTCATCCAAAGAAATGGACCAATCAAAAAAGTGGATCCCAATAATACCAGAGGCTCTGGTTCCAAAAAACGAACCATAGAAAGCCTTATGGGTCAAAATCCACCAGAAAACAATAATCATGTAGCCAAAAAATCCAAGCTACAAGAAAGCGAGTTTATATCTGATCGGTTTAAAAAAATGATGGCGATGACGTCAATGCACCAGGATTTGCTGCAACAGCACGACGATATGGAAGAGGAAAAATACTTTAACAAGTTGGAAATTAAAGAAAAAATGGAGGATAAAATGGCTAATACACATAAAGTCAAGTGCAAGGCTGTCAAGTGTTTGCAATGCAAATATACAAGCTTTAGTGCTTCAGATTTGTGCAAATCTGAACATCATGCTCTTAAAGTAAGCATGTTTTAAAGCTCTTATTTGAAATTTCTATTTTTTTTTTATTTTTAGGTTTTTGACGCTATGAAACGGTTCTATAAATGTTCCAATTGTCAGAATCGTACAGTCACTCTGGAACTGATTCCGACAAGGCCCTGTACCAATTGTGGGGGTTCCAACTGGCAAAAAACCGGAATGATGAAAGAGAAAATCGCCAAGGTGCAGCACAGTTTGTCGATAAGAGGCGGAGAGCAAAAGTTTGTCAATTCTCACGTGGCGGATGCTAATTTGGATTTGTTGGTGCCAGATGATTGATTTCTGTTTTGTTTTACGGACTTGTGATACTTATACACTTCTTTTTTAAGTTCTGTGACTATTGATTGAATTATTGATTAATAAACTTTTTTTGAGTCATATAAGTTTGCATCATTTAAACGTGAACGGACATCTAACTGAGAAAAACTGAACACTTGGTAATTAATTAAAAATAAAAATACATATGAATATTGTAAAAAAGTTACAATATTATTTGATGGTCAAAAAATTCTAGACGATTTATGGATTTATCAAGTAAACAATTATTGGTTCTTTGAGAAAAACGAAATACGTACAAACATAATACATATTTGAAAATATTTCACCTTTAAAAACAAAAATTATTTTGGTTAAGCGAACGTGTTTTGTCGCATTTTGTGCATTTATTGTTTTTTAGTGGGTAAAAAAGTAAGGATTATCAGTGAGTTTGGTATGGTTTTGTGGGTGGAAGCGTAGACTATCCATTGTGTGAGAAAATAGCCTGCATTCTGATGTGGAAACAGTGAAAACTAATTTCCAAAAGTACATTAAAGTTATTGTTGATTTGTACGATAGACAATAGACACATTTTATTTTTGCTGCCATTCTTCAACTAAACCGTATCGCTTGGGAATTTTTATCACATTCTTGGACTATTTATGGGGCTGCCTGCTACATCAAATCTTTTTTTGTTCTGCTAATGAACCCAAGCATTTTCACTGTGGATTCTGTTATTGGTATTTGTTTACTTGTCAAAGGTTCATTGAACTTAATGCAAATAAATGAATGCATGTTTAGTTTGAATATGTCTTTGGTTTGAATGAATCTGGCAACCAATTTTGGATGTTGTAATGATATGCCAAAGATTGCTAATTTTAAAAAAATATATAATGCCCATCAAATATTGAATAGTCCAAAGATAACAGTCCTCAATCGGTCTATCTTGTTTTATTGTAGTCTGCAAGTCCTGATGATCAGGGGTATTCAAACATTATGACATGTTTGTCCAATCACTTTGTCTAGCAGCCTTCATTTCAACAAATAGTCAATAAATACCACACCAACTAGGGCTTTAGAAGTAATTCTATGTTTGACTCTCCAGGGCTGGAATCTCGGTTGGGACTCTGTAATGGATAGAGATCGTTATCCCTATTGCTATGGCACTTGCTGTCTTCTTCTCTCTTTTCGAAACCAATAGAGAAGGGACGTCAATAGAGATAATAGAGATATTTATCTCTATTCATTATAGATTCCCAGCCCTCTGGATACTTATGTCAAGGAGGTCGTTTTAACCACAATGATGCGCTTCCGCACTATTGGAATAGAATCAAGTGCAGAAGTCGGTTTGCAGAGAGCCTGCATATGGCGTCAGGCAACGAACTTGCTTCCATTGTTGGATGCCAGAGTAAACTTGGCAACACCATGTTTCGTTTTCAAAAAGCACTACGCATTCAACATGAAAGGCTTTGGAAACAACACAGTGGCAGGGATAAGTAACATCTACACTGATCGTTCTAAAACTGTAACAGGTTCGGGATGCAGAGTATACTCGAATGCCCTAAAACTGAACCTAGCTATAGCCCTTGGCTCTATGCCGAATGGCCTCCAAACGGAAATTACTGACAAATAGACAGCAAAAATATCACTGACAAGATCATGGACATCCACACGGACTGCAGACAAGCAGTACTAGTCCTATCTAAACCGCGACTCACGTCAGAACTAGTACAACATTTTCACCGTACACTCACAGAGACGTCGATCAACAATACGGTGGTAGTCAGCTGGATCCAAGGACATGATCACAGCAAATGCAATCGGGCTACCGATGCTCTAGCTAGGGAGGGCCGCCAGGCTACAGCCTTCTAGACCGGAGCCCTTCATGGGGCTGACCATGTTGGCAGCCAAAGATATTGTAGCAAAACTAGAGATGAGCAAAAAATCGCGAACTGCTAAAAATTCACTACGAATGAAAAATCGCAATCGCAATCTGCTAATTATTTTAAAATAAACTGCGAAATGCGAATAGTGCATATTGCGAACAGCTGACGTGAACTCGTACTCGTAGAACTACACAGCTAACTGAACAGAGACAGAGCGATATCGGCTAGCGGTCAAAATAAATAGTGAACGAAGCAAATTGCTGCGTTCACCGTTCACTATCACTTCGATGCTAGCAATCAAAAAATAAATAAAAGACTGCGATCGCATGAACGTTTGTTGATGGTTCGCATCGTCTCGTCGCTAATCGCTATATGCCGCATCCTGCGTGCAAGCAAGGCATTTATTCCGCGAAGTTGTTTTTACGCGCATTTATTTACTATAAGTTCTAAAAAAATAAACCTTGCTGCGTTTTATTTATTTATTTTTTAATAATTTATAAGATGGCATCATTCGCAGTAATCACCTAAAAACTACTCTACATCATAAAACAGAAGCAATCACATAGCATATTTAACCTGAACCTATCATACACAAGAACAAACAACATACCTACTAACGTCGCAATCGCAAAACGGCGTGTGGAGCCAAAAGAATCATGACGTCATTCGCAGTTTATATTCACAGTGAATAAAAAATCGCATTCACAGTTATAACTGCGAATGAAAATTCGCGACTTAGCTCATCTCTAAGCAAAACGCCTCAAGTACTCTATTTAATTAATTAGATGGTAAATGGCGAGCGGTATATTGATGGTGTTTATTTCCTTGAGCTGCTACCTGTAAAATTGTGGAGGGGTCTATTCGCAAAAGAGAGAAACAAACTATTGAGTTTTACTAAATTATATTTTATTATACTTAAGACCAATAATTTAAATAAGCAAAATATCTTTCTATTCTGACAGCCACTTCCATTTTTCCCAAGTCAAATTATTTCACATCCATTCAAATGTCATTATTAGGGACCAGGAAATATCCTTCCAAAAAAAACGCCCTACTTCTGCTATTCTTAATAACTTATAAGTTTATACATAACAACACTTTCGATTCACCTTCCTATTAAAACTACCCTTCACCTATATCTATAAATTCTTAAAACTCCTTTTTTCTACTGACGTTTCATAATAGCAACTTTTCGATTGTCATTTTAGTTTTGAAACGACATTCTTTTAAGCACTCAGTGCGTAAAAGTGACTTTTAGGCACTCAGTGCGTAAAAGTGACTTTCAAGTGCGTAAAAGTGACTTTCAAGTGCGTAAAAGTAACTTTTAAGCACTAGTGCCTAAAAGTGTCATTCATTGTTCAGAAATAAAAAACACACTAAACACAGATTTGAATTTTGTTTTGTATTTATTATGAATATTAGTCACCACTATGAAAGGTGTCAAGCAAAAGCAGGTGACGCTCATTTCGCAACTTATTGTATAAATAGCTATACTGACTGCTTATGCAAAATAATAGACCGATCTCCTATTACCTGGACTGCGCGCGTCGCTTGTAGGCTGCAGGTGAGCGTCCAATGAGAAGCAAATTTGTGACAGGCTTGTATCATATTCTTATTCAGGGGCCAGTTCAGAATGAATCGTTCCTTCTTTCTTTGTAACGTGTATTTTGACAAAGAGCAAACTAATACTTTTACATATTACTTGAACTCACCGCAGTTTCGTTTAAGGTTATGTTAGATTATACTTGACATTTTGACATATTCCTTTGCAATTTCATTGAGCGATGTTGCCGGATGAAACATTTATCAAAATAAAAGTGCAAACAATATTTATCCACTTTAAAGCTCTTTTTTTGTCTGATTCGAGGCGTTGTAAAACACTTGACACTATATCACTTCTTTAATGTTATAATTTTCGATTTGTATTGTCTACATTTGTTCTGCAACAATACAATCTGGCTACACTGCAGCCTACGAGTTGCGCGCGCATGTCATCTTTTATTGCTTTCTTACTTGTATTTATTGCAATAAAGCTCTCTTTTTCTAATCATGCGAGATAGGTCTATTATTTAAGTCCTAATCTGACTCACTGGATTAGGTATACAGGGTGGAAAATTAAAAAGGATCCACCTGGATTTTCTCGAAAATTATTAGGAAATTAAAAAAACGTCGAAACGCGTCGATTTTGTTTGCAAAGGGGACACTTTTTGGCTATTTCAAAATTTTCCTAGATTTCACCCCCTTACCGGGGTGAGTTGCACCCTGAAAAGTTGAATAGGGAGGTATTTGAGATGACTTTACAAATCTGTATTTTTGTTTTCGAAATCAGACTTCTAGTTTTCAAGATAATCGCCTCGGAAGTTGTCATGGGGCGAGAAGAGAACGTGTTTTTTGGGAAAAAATGAAAAGTAGGTCATGTTTGAAAGGTTGTTCAAAAGGTTCAAACCAACAAAGAATCGAAGGTTTAAAATAAACAAAATTGACGTGTAGGAAAGATTTTCATAACTAACCCATAAGGTAAATAGAGATGGGTATCCCCCACATTCTCCATCTCAATTTGCCGCATTTTAGAGATAGGCCGGGCCATTCCAAGTACGTGTAGTTCATAATTCATTGATTCAAAATATAAAAATATGCTTCAGTGCTCTGCCCTCTGCTATTTTTCAGTTTGTCATCAAAATGTGTGTGAAATGTGTCACATGCATAACCTCCCAAAGACATATCAAAATGTTACCAACTCATGCAGGTAATAAATAAAATAAAATCCGTATCAACTACCAACTGAAAGGTAATAAATCTACCTTTACTTTTGGACTTCGGATTGTGAATAGATTATAGAAAGGGTGCAACCCCCATCCATAGCCTGCCCATCAGTTTTGTCAGGTCTACTGATTTACTAGTAGATCTACTAATTTATCAGTAGATCTACTGATTTGGCCATTGGTCTACTGATATACTGATATCAATGTGAATTCTACTGATAAAAGCAGCTGTCATTATTTAACCGCTTTTTATGATATTTTTAAAATTATAATCATGTATGAGAATGTCACAGCAATAATTTCATGCTTGACCTATAGGGTAGAACTCTTGGGAGTGTACTCTAAATGACGTCCGATTACTTCGATCTGTCCGGTG